AAAAAACCCTCTGAATACCCTACAAACCACAATGTACTAAAAACACTTAGAACACCCTGGAAACCATATAGCAACACCATGGCAACTACCTACAATTCTTTACCAGTGACACAGCAAAGCACAGAACAACTTAGTAACCATAAAGCACAGCCTTGGCAACCACTAACCAACAACACCCCAGCAAGGTGCTAAAAGCCACTCGGAGCACATTGGCAACCACATAACAACTAGGCCTACATAAACCCTCCATTGCGCTCGTGTCTTACATCATTTGCAGCGTCGCACATGAGTGCCGTGTTTTTAGACATAAAGTGGACCAATCAGAAGACCCCAGAGGCGGGGCAAGCGTTGTGAGCTTTTGTTTACAGTAGCAAGTTGGCAAGGCAACTGTTTTGTTTGACGGCAACATGGCGGAGGCATTCAGCACTTTTTTAAAAACCATTCCGGAGCGCTGGGTTTTTAGACGCAAATACGCATTCTGTGTGAAAACCCCCTTAGAACATTGCCACACTGTAACACAATAAGAAACAACTCAGAACATCCTAGCAACCACATAGCTATGTCCTGACAACTACTACCAACATCTTAGCAACCACATAGGTGATTACATTTACCTTAGTGCCATACATATAAAAAGATTTCAAATACGCAAAAAGATATAACATTTCATAACTTTTTTTGATTAATTCCGAGCTCATTACTATGGAAGCCCGTTTCCGCCACTGAATAAAAAAAAGGTAATTGTGACTTACTTTTTTTCTATTTTTTATTCAGTGGCGGAGATGGGCTGCCATACATTACAGATGGGTTCATCTGTCAAACTCATTCAGCGCCACACAAACAAATATAACATGCAGAAAACATTACAATGTTGCAAGGCTAGTGCAGAATGCTTCAAAGAAGACGCTACAAAGACAATGGGCAATCTTTTGTAACTGAAAATTTTCCAGAAACAAAGCATACAGTGAATCCAGCATGACCTTCACCCAGGCCAGTTTGCCTACCAAGAAATAACAGGAAGCGAAGGGGTCAGACTAACAATACCAGCACTGGACACAGTAATTCAGCAGCACAGAGCAAATGTTTTCTGCC